TCAAAATAAACCTTATGTTCTAATTTCATTGAGTTTTCATTATTTTTAACAGCACTAAAAAGTGAAATTCATTGTATTAAAGAGGAAAAAAAGCACCATAGGGGGCACAGTTATGGATACTTCCTAGACATAAGCAAACCCCTAGAGGGACTGGATTACTGGGTTTGAAGGCTTGGGACCACAGTCTTGAGGGACAACTTGGTCAATTGGCATAACATAGTTCATAAAGATAATGTTCTTACATTCTAGTTTGATGAGTAGCATCTGGGGTCTCAAACGCTTGCTAACAGCCATCTAAGATGCAACTATTGCTCTCTGCTTGTCTGGAAAAAAAGAGAATGAAGGAAACCAAACACTCAAAGAAGAAACTAGTCTACAGGACTGATAGTCCACATGAACCACGGCCTCATCTAGCCTGAGACCAGAAGAAGTAGATGGTGCCCAGCTACAATTACCGACCATACTGAGCAGGGACACAATAGAAGGTCTCTGACAGAAAGGGAGAAAAATGTACAACAAAACTCAAGTTCCTAAAAAAAGGCCAGACTTACTGGACCAATAGAGACTTGAGGAACCCCGGGGACTATCATCCTAAGATACCCTTTGAACTTGAAACTGAAGCCACTGCCGGTGGCCACCTTTCATCCAAACAATAGATTGGCTTATAAAATAAACAATATCGCCTGTAAGTACCATGCTCCCTTAAATAATAAACTATATGAGATCAAACGTTAACATTTACCCTAAAAGAAAGACAAGAAGCTAAGGAGAGGCAGGAAACCTAGATTAATGGAAACAGAACACTAGAAAAGAATGGAAATAATGAGAATGTTGACACATGATGGAAAATATAACCAATGTCGGGGAAAAGGTTGCATAACAATTGTTAAATGGGAAACTAATTTGCTTTGTAAACTTTCACCAAAAATACAATAAAGTAACCGATGTTAATGAATTGTACATGTAGAAACTTTCGGAATGGTGTAACTTTGGGTATGTATATTTTCACCAAAAAAAAAGGTCCTCAAGGTCGAGAAGGGAGAGTGTTGACATGTCATGGGGTTGTTAACCAATGTCATAAAACAATAGGTGTATTGACTGTTTAATGAGAAACTATTTGTTCTGTAAACTTTCATCTAAAGTACAATTTTTAAAAATTTAAAAAAATACAATATTTAAAAAAAATGCATCATTTAAGAGGAGTTGATTCTTAAGTGCAAAATTAAAGCAGTGGTTTCTTTTGTATGGACTCAGTCTTGTTTGCTATTTTTGAGCAACAGGCCCCTACTCTTTAGGGTTTGAATACATACACTTCAAACTTCTATTATCTCTTTGTTAGCACTGAGTGCCATTACGTGTTCTTGATTACATGAAGCAAAGAAATGAGGTAATTATCTGATAATTCAAACCCAGAAAAAATGTTGGCTTGAACTATCCAAGAAGTGCTCAATTTTCTATTAAAACTCTAAAAGCCCAGGTCTGACAGAAGTCTTTTTTCTTAAGGGTAAAAGCTAATAGAATCACCATCAGAATATCTTAAAGTTCTATGCGTAGTTAGTAGTCTCCAGGTCATGAACTACATTCTTTCCAGGAAACTAAACCAGGAATTCCTTTGAGCCCTTAGCTCCAACAAAAAATCAGCCTTACTTTTTTTTTTTTCTATTCCTGTCCTGCATTCTCTATCAGAATCATAAGACAAGTTTGGAAATGAGACAGGCACTGTCTTTTGTGGAGATGTATCACACAGTAAGCAAAAAGCACCCAAATGGAAAGTTGCTGTTGTTGTTAGGTGCCATCTAGTCAGTTCTGACTCATACTGACCGTATGTACAACAGAATGAAACACTGCCCAGTCCTGCGCCATCCTCACAATTGTTGCTGTTTGGGCCCATTTTTGCAGCCACTGTCACTCCATCTCGTTGAAGGTCTTCCTCTTTTTCACTGACCCTTTACTTTACCAAGCATGATGTCCTTCTCCAGGGACTGGTACCGCCTGAGAACATATACAAAGTATGTGAGAGGAAGTCTCGCCATCCTTGCTTCTAAAGGAGCATTCTGGCTGTACTTCTTCCAAGACAGATTTGTTTGCTCTTCTGGCAGTCCAATTCAATGTTCTTCACCAACAGCATAATTCAAATGCATCAGTTCTTCTTTGGTCTTTCTTATTCATTGTCCAGCTTCCCCAAGCATGTAAAACTCAAACCTATTGCCATCGAGTCAATTCCAACTCAAAGCGACCCTATAGGACAGAGTAGAACTGCCCAATAGTGTTTCCAAGGAGCAGCTGTTGAAACTTTTGGTTAGCAGCCATAGCTCTTAACCACTTACAAATGTCATGGCTTGGGTCAGGCAAACCTTCGTCTTCAAGGCCACATCTTTGGTTTTTAACACTTTAAAGAGATCATTTGCAACAGATCTGCCCAATGCAATGGGTCATTTGATTTCTTGACAGCTGCTTCTATTGGCATTGATTGTGGATCCAAGTAACATGAAATCCTTGACAACTTCAGTATTTTATCATGATGTTGCTTATTCATCAAATTGTGAGAATTTTTGTGGAAAGCAGGTGATGTTAATAAAGTACAGCCCAGCATTCTTATAGTTTAGCAATTCATCTTCTAATGGTGGGCTATGTTTTCTTGAGATTCCAAACCCAGAAGGGTGTGGGCACCAGCTACAGAAAGTGCAGAAAAAAGTATGTTGGAAGAAAATGGGCAGAGGAGCCAGAGGCAGGTAAAGTGGAAACGTAAATGTTGTGTGTTGGTATGATGTTGGAAGCTATGCCACTAGTATTTCAAACATCAGCAAAGTCATCCCCAGTAAACAGGTTTCAGCTGAGCTTTCAGATGAAGCTGGTCTAGGAGGAATGGCCTCACAATCTACTTCCAGAAACTAGCCAATGAAAACCCTATGGATCACAGCAGAATATTATCCAACATAGTGCTGGAAGATGAGCCCCCTAGGTTGGAAGGCACTCAAAATACACAGTGGCTGCAACTATGGACATGAGCATAGCAACCATCATGAAGAGGTACAGGACTGGGCAACGTTTTAGGGGCACTGAGTTAGAGTTATGAGTTGAGCATTACAATAATAGTTTGCAAAAATGCTGTAAGGTCTCTATTAGACGGCATTAGATACCTAAACGTGGCTTCTGAAAAATTTTCTGAAGTAGTATTTGTCCTAAAACGAACGAACAACAACAAAACTGAAAACCTTCAAAGACAAAGAACAATCAGTTTCTAGTATGCTGTCTTTGTAAGATGAAAGGCAGGTCATCCCCAGGGAATGCAAGACTCTGTTCTCCAAAAAATGGGGAGACATACTTCAAGAGGAGCCCTGGTGGCGCAGTACTTAAGATCTATGGCTGCTAACCCAAAAGTCGGCAGTTTGAATCCACCAGCTGCTCCTTAGAAACCCTGTGGGGCGGTTCTACTCTGTCCTATAGGGTCGCTATTAGTCGGAGTCGACTTGGCCACAACGAGTACAACATACTTCAAGTAGTGAAATGTGCACTCTCCTTTTACATATATAGACCCAGTTTGTTCTGAGGCCCCTCCAGGCCCCAGCTCAAAGCTGGCTGCTTTGGAATGCATGGCGTGCCTGGACAAAACACATCCTGAATTGTAGTCTACTGACTGACATTACCTAGTGCTGTTTACACTTGTATTTACCAAGGCTTCCATCCCAGCCATATAAATTATAAATGCACCTCTAAGCACGCTGGGTAAGCCAAATACACACAGCATCAAAGGGGGAATATTTAATGATTCCATAGATAATACATGGGTTATACCTCTGGCTAACCTGAACATTAAAACTAGAGTCTATGTATGAAAGTAGTAACTCTATGAAAATTGTTTGTTTAAATATCCATAAAATCACAAGTTTTAGGCCAAATACCACTTTAGAAAATTTTTTCAGAAGCCACATTTAGGTACTTAATGCCATAATAGAGACCTTATAGCATTTTTGCAAACTATCATTGTAACGTTCAAAATAACCACTTAGATCGGGGGTCAGCAAGCTTTCTGTAAAGGGACAGAATATTTGAAGCTTTGCAGAACACACGGTCTCTGTTTCAACCACTCTGTTGTGCTGCTGTAGCAGAAACCTGACATGACATAAACAAATGAGTGTGGCTATGTTGAAATAAAACTTTATTTACGGACGCTGAAATTTGAATTTCATATTATGTTCACGTGTCATGAAATATTCCACCCCCGACCACCACCATTGTTAGCTCATGGGCCATACAAAACACATCAGGCTGGATTTGGCCATTGGCCCAGTTTTCCAGACCCTGACGCAGGTGGTTGAAGGATAAACATTACTGCCATTACAGCATGGAGTAAAGGGGAAGCGAGGTCAGGAAAAGGCAGTGCAAGGGGAAAGGAGGCAGCACTGTGAGTGTCTTGTTACTCTAAGTGGGGTCCCAGGAGCAGCCACATCAGCACCACCTGGGCCCCACAGAATCAAAGCTTGCACGTAACCACGACCTCCAGGTAACTGCAAGCATACTGAAGTTTGAGAAGCAGTGGTGGTGTGATTTAAAGGCTGGGCTCCGGAATTAGAAGGTCTAGTACACAACTTTGTGCCTCTCACTAGCTATGTGACCTTGGACAAATTACTTAACCTCCACATGCCCGTCTGCACACCTAAAACGTGGGGTTAATGATGAGAATAATCTGTTAAACATTAGAAACTGCCTGTCAATATATATTAAATGCTTCCTGTCGTTCATTTTAAAAAACAAATGCACACATACTCCTAATGTCCACTTCCTCAAGGACAGGCACATTTTAGCCACAGTCACTTTCAAAGAGTTGAACCTACTGTAACTAGAGCCCCCCCTCACTGCACCCAGAAACCCACCAGCAAAAGAAAAGGAAGACGCCACAACTCCTGGCCGCAGAGTGTAAAATATATTGAAGGTTGTAAAGGGACAATTTGGAGACAAATCGTAGGTCTGCTGAGATGACGTGCAGCATACATACATGCTGTTTTTTTTTTTTTAACCAAGTCATTACATTTTTAAATACATCTCTGTTTTCCACATGGTGTTGTTTTTGTTTTTTTCTATTAGCACAGGTTACTACTCTACAGTTTCTCCTAGAGTAAATAAATATACTGGCTAAGTTTGCAGGGCAACTACAGGCTCATTTAGATGTTTAACAAGGTGAACTATTTCACAAGCACTGAGTGAACAGCAAGGTCTTTTTCACTAGTTTTGTTCACTGCTGTAGTGGAGAGGGTTCGAGTTTCCATTTATTCTCTTCACCTGTTTAGTCATCAACAGGCTCCAAAAGGTAATGAAAAAAAAAAAAAACTGTTAAAAAAAAAAATTGAAATTGTAATTATGCCACAGGGTTTTTCAAGACCCTTAATGCAGATAATTTAAATTTACAAGAGAAAAAAAAATTTACAAGAGAAAAAAAAAACTCAGTAACAAAAAACTACTGAAAAATACATCTGTAGAATACACTGGTCGGTTGTAAACAGCTCAGAAGGGCAAAGAAAATAAAAAGTCCTTCTAGAACATTAAGCAGTCCAACAACAAACTCTGCTTTTTTTCTTTCTTTCCTCCTAGTGGCTATTTTCCTACCACAGTGTTGCGCTTCATTATTATATTAAATAACTTATATGGGTAAAAATGAGTTTGCTAACCAGCAGCCAACTCAAAATCTTGTAGGAAGAGGGAGGAGAGGAATTCACAACACAACAGACACTAACGGGAAGCATCCAACCCCGTCTTCCTTCTCTGGCAATACTGACTGTGTTGAGTTTTGGGACCTCACTGGAGGGGTTTTTTCCCCTCCCTCCTCTCCCTTTTTCATTTAAGTTAACAAAGAAACATGGGCTTCCTAAGCGCCAGCACTCAGCTGGGCAAGTCCCATTAGCAGCGAATGTTCAACCAAACAAACACATACACAAAAGAAAGCTCTATCCAGGTGCAGTGCTGTGATTCACATGGAAATTCCAGGAGATGAATCATGTGCAGAGCTGGGATCTTTAGAGGATTCTTTCTCAAGCGTCTTCAGTGAACATTTCAGTCTCTCAACATCTGAGTCAATCTGTCAGCTGTGGGAAATAAGTTCCCCATCTGCTCTGGAGTAAGCCTGCTTTCTTTGCTGACCGGAGCACTCCAACGACGGCGGGGTACTCAGGATTCTTCGTGGTTCTAGATACCAGAAAATAAAGACCAGCCCCTCAATGATCTGCGTGATGTCAGTGCAGCGGCGGCAGTGGCGGCGGCAGTGGCGGTCAGCACGTCGTTATGTTAAACTCTGCCTAAGAGGCTTGACCTGAGTAATAACGAAGACAGTGTAAGAAAGAACGCAGGAGAATATCTGAACCAGGATTAAAATGCCTACCTAATATTGGCTTCACGCTTCTTGTGTTTTAAGCTTGACTTTACATATTTAAAAACAGGAGAAAGAATTCTGCTGTGAAGTCCCTCTGTTTTTTTTGGGGGGGGGATTGCTAGTCACTTAAAGCAAATATTCATTAATGGTAAAAGGGTTGCTTATAGGGAAATCTATGTCTTGTGTGGCTTTATATTTAAAACAACAAAACAAACACACAAAGGTCATTCATGATTTAAAAAAAAAAAAAGCTTTTAGGTATGTGCTGTCCTCTCACAGACGAGCTGACTTTGTAGACAGATACGGACATTCTCAACAACACATTCCATGACCAGTGGGTGCACTTACAGTGTGTCTGCCCTCAGAGGTGTATCTGTCATTGCCATTGCTGAACCCAAGTGCCTGCAGTGACTGGCTCTAGGGCCAGCAGGAAAATCATCTATGTAAAAATATCTTTACTGCCTTCAAAGGCACAAGACACAAGTTCTCAGGTAGGTACTATCATTCTAGAATAATTAGTTCAGCATCCACTTGACACATGTGGCTTTGCAAGTTATAATAGCCTATTTTTTTTTTCTTTATCCTCTCATGGTCCCCATGCCTTGGCCAACACCTGTAGTAACCTAGCATCATTCAACCACACTGCAGGAGCATGGACTAAAGAGCAGTGGTGTGTAAAACACCATGTCAAGTGCTGTGGCAGATTTGAAGGAGAGACCCTGGATTATTTGCCCTCAAGGAGCTTACATATTAGTAGGCAAAGACCCGCATGCACTACAAAACAAGGCTTGCTTGGAAAAAGGAGAGAACATTGCCATATGAGTTCAGAAAGGAACTCTCAACTGGACTACAGAACTAACTGCATCCATGAACTACTGCCTCCTCTGTCATGAGATCAGAACTGGATAGTGCCCAGTTACCATTACCCAATGTTTGGATCAGGGACATGATAGATCCTGACAGAAAGGGGAAAAATGTGGAACAGTATTTCAAATTCTTAAAGTTTCCCAACTTACGGGACCCAATGAGACTGGAGGAATCCTAAATCTACTGCCCTGAGATAATCTTTAAACCTTCAACCAAAACTATCCCCTGAAGTCATCTTTAAACTAAACAACAGTTCAGCTCAATTAGTAAGGAATGTATGCCTTTAGTATTGCGCTCTTTTAAAAGATTGTATATATGAGACCAAATCGACAACAGTAACTCTAAAGCATGTCACCTGAACTATATGTGTAGAAATTGTTGAATGGGTGTATGCTTTACTCTGTATACTTTCACCAAAAATAAAATATTTTGAAAAAAGGAAAAAAAAAAAAGAAGGGAAATTTTTCTGGTGGAGACATGGGTCGGCAGGGGAGGTACTGGAGCTGAGTCTTGAGAAGGGTCAAGGTATAGGAAAGGCAGAGTGTATGGCTTAAACACAAACATGAAAGGGAGACTGTGGAGCCCATGGTCCCTTGAAGAAAAAGTGTAACATGGAAATTAGTCTTTTACGCCAAATAATACAGCTCCACTGTGCTTATAAATATATTGCCTGATACAGCACTCATTTTACTTGTGCCACTGCCTGTCCTTCAATGAATTCTTATCAGAGAGATTATTATTTGCCAATTTTGCACCCTTGTACAATTGAGGGTGATTTGTGTCTGAATTTAAGGCAGTACACTCTCTTTTTCAGCTCGTATTTCTAAAATCTCCAATAAATTATGTTGTCACATTTCAACCAACTGATTAAGCGTTGTTGTACCTAGAGACATGGAAAGAGACTAAACAATTTAGTCTTCACCTCTTACTAACAAATCATTGACTTACAAACCCTTCCAGCCTAACCAATAATCAATAGGAATATGGCATAAAAGAATAACAACCAGAAACAAATTGTAGGTAGGTTTGGACAATTTCAATCTGTCTGGATTCCACAGACAATACGGATATCAGGTATCATTTATCCATACCCAATTTATTTACCAATTAAAAAAAAAAAACTTGAAGAAAAGTAACAATAGCTAAGCTGTACCTAGAGATCATACCAAACTTAATGTTTTTAAAAAAGAGAAAGGGGAGATTAAAAAGAGAAGTATGGAAGGCAAAATTCATCTTAAAAAGAACCGAAAGGATTAATTCCCAAATCTTTTATCCAACAAGATGTATATTCTAGGCTCATGCCTTACACATAAATAATATTAAAGACTGCAGTAAATATCCTTTAATACAAAAACAAAATAATACAGAATTTTAATTTAAATGCGCATTGGCAGGCACAAATTTTCATGAAAATAAAACTGGGCATCAGCCCTGCAGGACTGTTATATCCTCATGATTCTGGGCCATCGGCCATACCTTCTTTATGTCTGTGTAGGGAGTACAAGAAACACCTGCAGTCCTTAACCTGTCACCATGAATTGTTCTAAGGATAGTAATTCCAATGCTTTTGTAGCTCATCCCTCCTCAAGGAGAGGTACAAAGAAGCAGCTCTAAGTTTTCCTTTGAAACAGACAAAATGAGACAAAACTAAGTTTATCTTGGATATCTTGTTTCATGAAACTTTTCTAATATGCAGTATAATGAAGGCTCCCAAATGACTCTGAGTTCTACTCCGAGGTCACAAAATGAAGAAGGGAAAGTTTTCTTGTCAACTCTGGTCTAAAAAGGTACATATTCTCAGAGTAGTCTTGTTTAAAGACTCTAATAGAATAAAAATTTAAAACACTCAGGATTAGGCTGAAAGTCCCAATTCTCTCTCAAACCAAAGAAGAGACTAAGATCCAGTAGGTAAGTGACATATGCAACTTTATTGAACTAGGTGGTACTTGAGTATCTTTTATCTTAGGCCAAACAAAATTTTAGAGTTAGAAGAACTATTCAGAAATGGGATCTGAACTTCTGATCTTCTAGATAAGGAAAGCTAGAGGTGCTCTTTTTTACTATAAAAGGTTATTCAGTTCCTCATTCCACAAAATAATGGGAGAGAGAGAAAGAGTGGAAAACTACAGTCACTGTATGTAAACCAGTAAAAAGAAAAAACTGAAAGTCTTTAAAACTGAATGGTGGCAATGAGAATTCTATGAGAATTCGGTTAACAGGACATAAGGCAAAGAGGACTTGGGCTAGGCAGGCAGGGACATCCCACAGAAAGTGTGCGGCTTTCTTCAAATGAGACCAACATGTTTAGATGTAAGCAGCAATGAGACTCACCTTAAAGACTTCCATCTGTCTTTCTCTATATGATTTTCAGGTCCTTCACTCTCATAGGAAGCCAAGTAAAGAGCTATAATCAATGAAAAGTAAGAGTGCATTAACACTGAAGCCTCTTCCCAATATGTTATCTACCACCATTTATCCCTCTGTTCAACTTGAACCAAACCCGACAGCAAAACACACCCTTTTATAGCAAGGGATGACAGAAGATTCATAGTGTAATTAAGAATACAAGATGGTACTTTGCTTCTGACTGACCATTACAACAAAACCCAATGGCCTCCAGGCCAAAAAGGAACTTTAATTAGCAAAGAGATAATTAATCAGGCAAAAAGGCTTATAAACGCAAGCTGCATGACACTATCATACACACAGATTTATGTCCTTTACAAAGGGGTGGCTGGAAGAGGATCCTTCCCTGGTATCCTTAGCTTTTAAAAACTCCTCATAGGTAAAAAGCCAGGTTTTCCAGGCCAGTTTCCCATCCTTCTAATATTTTCTCTTTCGTTTTATATCAGAAGGAATCTTCACCCAAAGATTAAAAAGCTTGTCACTAATCCAATCTGTTGAGGTAAAAAATGATCGAATCCCCTCCAGAACGGGTACTATTATTAGTAAGAATCAAACGTCATTGGTAAATGGAGTCTCGAATTGGGAAGTACAATGAGCTCTTCACTATTTGTTCTGTTCAGTAAACAGGAGTCGTGGCAAACATTTGCACTGGTATAAAATGAATATATGCATAAACTGCTAATTTCCCAAAAATTAAAACACGTTAACAGACATTCACATGTAAAACCTGGTGTGCTTAAATCTTTCACTGACAATTCAAAATGTGCTTCATTCATTATGATCATTACCAATCTACTATGGGAAATCGTTGGTCAATAGGTGCTACAGATTCTTATACTATTAGAATATAACAAATCACTGTAATGAATCCACAAGTATTCTACCAACTCTAACTCTCTGAAGGTGAATTTTTTTCTGTACATATTCAATCACTTTTCTGCCTGAAATTCCCTAATATTTTAACTTTCCACTACTTTTCCAAATGGTTAGGGGTAGCAATAAACTTATTTTTCCCCCCAAATTGCCTTGAATACCAACATACCATAAAACACCTGTGTCTCCACTGAAGCAAGCCCAAATGAGGGGGGAAAAAAAAATTCCTTCAGTAGCTTTCCATTTGTACCCAAGGCTCTGAAGATTTGGTATTATAAAGAATCTTTAAACACAGAAAGATACTGTTTATAAGTGAATTTTAAGTGGGTGCCTGATTCAATATTTTCAGGACAAATCGTAAGATTTTTTGTGCCATGGAAAACTCTTAAGATGGAGGAGGTCAAAGGACACACCTTATACTATACAACAAACACTTACACACTAATTTCCTAACTACAGGGTAGATAAGGCCGCTCCAAATGAAGGGCCTACTCACCATCTTCACTGAAGACTGGTACTGTGAGCAGGTACTGTAAGATCTTCCGATCCCTCTCAAATGGACACTCTACTTGTTTCCATGTCATGAATTCACTCACTTGCTTGGCCAGTTCCCAAAATTTCTGGGAAACAATTAACAAAAAAGAAAGGAATTTAAAGGCAGTCATCAAAAATTGAGACAGCTCCATTTAACATGTTTCCCTCTGGTTTCTAATCTTCTGAGTTATATAATTTTCTTAACTTTACAAAGACTGTATTTGCTAGGTATAGGTAAAAATCTGGAGCCGTGGTGGTGTAGTGGTTATGAGCTACGGTGAGCTAAGGCTGCTAACCAAAAGGTTGACAGTTCGAATCCACCAGCCACTCCTTGGAAACCTTATGGGGGCAGTTCTACTCTGTCCTATAGGGTTGCTATGAGTCGGAATGACAGCAACGGGCTTCATTTTTTTTGATTTAGTAAAAATTCAATCAGTTCCTCCAAACAACAATAACAATAATGTAGGTAATCTATTCCACTTGGTATAATAAATTTCTTAAAAATCTGTTGTTGGTTTAGTTCTTGTTTTTGTTGAGTCAGTTCTGACTCATGGCAACCCCACATGTTACAGCACAGAACTATTCAATAGGGTTTTCAAGGCTGTAACCTTTTGGAAGCAGATCGCCAGGCCTGTCTTCTGAGGCACCTCTTAGTGGGTTCAAATTGTCAACCTTTTTGCTTGTAGTCAAGCACTTAACCATGTGTACCACCCAGGAACTCTGACAAATTCGTTGGGAAAGAGAAAACTTGGTTCTGTAGCTTCAAAATTGGGGTGAGCTTTGGGTGCCTGGCAGTGGATGTGATGCTGAAGAAGCTGTTCCTCCCTGTACTCTATTCTGTATCCTACGTTATCCACACTTACCTCAAAATTGACATGGCCATTTGGAAGGCGGTTGGCACAGCCTTCATTGAGGAAATAAATATCTTTGATTAAGAGACTGAAGAAGGGTATCACAATCTAGAGAAAACAAAAGATTCTGGTTTGCTCAGGCAAATAAACATTTAACTTCTCATCCAACAATAAGAGACTAATAGACAACATTAATTCTGGATTTCATGAAAGTCCTCAATGAATTAAGATTTGGTGTTTTATTTACCTCACATGTCAGCAATTTCTTCCCTTTAGAAATTTTGTTTAAGATGCACATGCTGTTAGAAACTAAAACATACCAAAGACAAATAAATGGGTGGTGGGGGTGGTGGATGGGTCAGTGTTTTCCCTATTTTTCACAATGCAACAGTACACAATAAGATCTGTATGTTCTAGCTATAATGAAAGGAAAAATATCCAAAAGAGTTCATTATCCATTTAGCAACTCTTGTTTACAGCAAAATATTAACAAAATACCTATCACTGCAGGTACTAAGATTTTAAGATGACCCATCGATATTACTACATTACTTAGATTTTTACATTTCAGATGAACTTTTTTCTTTTTAGATGATACTTTTATTTCATCCTTGAGTACATTGCTCAATGTAATGGGAGAGCTCGGGGTTTTAGGCAATAGTTGTGGCAAACTTCATACTGAGTAAACCTAACAAGTTAGCACGTGTTCTCATGGGAATCACCTCAGAAGAACCTTGCACAATGTGTTGTGAGATGTGTCCCCAAGTGAAGGAGGAATATAAACGTGTAAATTAAAATTAATGGTTGCTTAAGAAACAATGAACCTTTTTTAGTAACAGTTTCCTGCCTCAAATCTTTGGTTTGATGAGGTGATATTTAATTAAATAACCTAAAGTAATGAGCTCTAAGAAATTACCCTAAATCTTTCTAAGCCCATAATGAACAAAGAACAAAGCTCAGATATAGTAACTTCCACTTTCTCTCAAATGCCAACATGTTTTTAAAGATTCTAAATTTGCCACAATGCAAATAATGCATCAAACACAAATTGGGGGTCTGTCTTGTTTCTCCAAGATTAGGTTTTAACTTTTCCAAAGCTTATGACTCATGCAGTATGTTTATACTAAATGAATGGGAGGCCTGAAAAATGTTTTTTGGCTCACACACGAAAATATTAAATATCAATTCACTTCTAGGGAGAAATTCAGATTTTCCTCTAAAGTCATTCAAAACAAAAGTTCTGATCATTTTTTGTTTCACTGATCTCTGAAAATAACCGAACAGAACCTTCATTTTTGGCAAGCTACTTGAATATACTTCTAGTCATTTGCTGTTGTCACTGGAAGTGTCTCTAAAGCTGAAATAGTAAAGATCTCATTTTCTTTGTATCTTCTTCTTCAAATCTTACTGGATATTTCTCTACTACTGCAGAAATAAACAGCTTTAGTAAAAATCATTAAAGTACACCTGAACCTCGAAAGTACACCTGAACCTCGCCTCTTTGAAAGACCATATGTGAGAGGAAAATGCTGGGTGGCAGAATCTGTCAGACAGCAGTTTAAAATATGGCCCCACCATTATGCACTTTTAAAGAACTATGTGGGATCAAACTGACAACAGCAACTTGAAAGGTTAGATAGGAAGCTTAGGGGACAGTGAATTTATGTTAACAGGGGATGAATAATTCGGAAAAAGAGGGTGAGAATGGTTGCACAACTTGAAGAATGTAATCAATGTCACTGAATTGTAGATGTAGAAATTGTTGAATTAGTATATGTTTTACTGTATATATTTTCAATAATAAAAATAAATTATTAAAATATATATATATATATATATATATATCTGGCTCCATGATTTACTGGGGTATAGCCAGGAGTTGGCAACTAAGGCCTTGGGCCAACTTGGGCCCACTGTCTATTTTCTGTAAGGCTTGTTAGATAAGAATGGTTTTACATTTTTAAGTGGCTAGAAAAAATCAAGAGTAATGTTTCACGATGCATGAAAATTATATGAAATTCAAATTAGTCACAGAGCTTTATTAGAATAGGGCCACGCTTATTCATATACACATTGCCTATGTCTGCTTTTGTGCTACTACGTCTCAGTTGAGAAGTTCTAAGAGAGACTGTATTGCCCACAAAACCTAAACTATTTACTATCTGGCCCTTTACAGAAAAAGTTTGCAGACCACTGCCATAAGCCTAACATACTCAGAATGCCTAGTTTCCTCACCTTAAAATAGGAACAGCAGTAACTACCTCAATGAGTTGTGATCAGAATTAAGTAAAACAGATTTGATCTCAAATAAGCACTCCCAAAAATGAATGGGCTCCACACAAGGGGACACATATTACTGATGCACTGAAAAGATAAGGAAACAGCATAAGGCAGCCCCTAGAAATAGGGACAAAATTATAATCAAGATGTAATATTTGTACTCTGTAACAGCTTTTAAGCAAGAGCTTTATTTCTGTGTTCTATTCTGTATGCTGGTCTGTGAGATTCCTTGGTGCTATTCATTTACTGTCTCATATGGATATTTAAACTATTCACAAGGTTATGTCATGTACCTCTAACTGGATTATAAGCTCTGGGTGGCAAGGGCTATACATTATGTGATTTCTGTACTCATGGGTGCCTGGCAAGATGCTGTATTAAGGTCTGAATCACTCCTTCAAGGGAAAAGATGTATAATTAATCTCACTTAGGATACCGCACTGCTGTTCCTTACGCTCAGATCCAAAAAAGAAGTCTCACAGGATTCAGCTTCTCATTTACTTGTGGGTAATTTGCTTCAGATCTATAGCCACTATACAAATTTACCATAGCAAAAATCAGACAACTTTAAGGACTTTGGATTTCCATGAGCTAAGGTGAAACGTACAGGTTACTAGGCAGATGAAGCCCTCGTGGCACAGTGGTTACACGCTAGGCTGCTAACTGAAAGGTCGGCAGTTCAAACCCACCAGCAGATATGGCAGTCTGCTTCCATAAAGATTACAGCCTTGGAAAACCTATAGGGCAGTTCTACTCTGTCCTATTGGGTTGTCAGGAGTCAGAATCGACTCGATGGCAGTGGGTTTATTAGTAGGGCAGGGTAAAAGTTTGGCTGCTAGAAGGCCTTAGATAATGTCTTTAGTGGGAAAGCTTTTCAAGTATTAATGTTTTCCAATTCCTTTTCAAATTATTCTTATTTCAGAGACTTGGAAACTGTACCTCAAAGGTATTATTAATTCTACGTATAGAGATAAATGCTAATGAGCAGGAATGAGAGCATAAGAATAGACTCAAAATGGCAAAAGGATTTAAAAGCATGTAATCATAATGAGGAATGGTTGAAAACTTGGGAGATACAAGGCACCCCCAGAGGAAAAAAAAGCCATTTAAAGATACTTTAAGGGTTCCTGTGTGGAAGACAGATGTGATTTGCTCTACAACATGGAACTTAGGCATGTGCTGCTTTGACACATACACTTGGGATCTGAAAGAATATCAAAGATTCTATTGCTCTCGTTATGCTGCCAGGAAGATTTTAAAATAGAAAATTACTTTAGAATAAAGAGAGTGCCCCCTCCCCTTGCCTCAAAAAAGAAAAAAGAACTCTAATTTTTTTGAAAAGATGGATTTTGTCCATAAATGTTTTCATTCTTGGCCTTTGGGACCAATTGTGAAAAATAAAATAGCGGAGTTTTCTAAAATGGTGATGATTTCATTTGTTTTATGAACTACAGAATACAATTCATATATACTCACATAGAAGCATTTTAAAAAATAACTAAAGGAGTCAGAATTTATTACATGATGTAATGGGTAACTACTTGGGACTTTTTCTAGAAAAGGATGTTACATTCCCACAAGCACAATATTCAGTAAGCCTTTCTGGGAGGATTGGACTTCAGAATTACTTGGGCCAAAGTAATAGCAGCTCCCTAACGACAGATCTGAATCTATGGCCTCCTTGCTGGAGCAAATGCTCACTGAAGGCCATGCAGAGAGGTCCTTGCACCCAACACAGAGAGGTGAACCAGATGACATGTACAGCCTCCAAAATAACCTCACACCAAGGGTGCTGGGATCTCCTCACGTATGTGCTGGTTTTCTGAAGCTTAAAAAGACCCTCAGATTACATCTTTCCTCAATCTAGTCACAGGAGTACTAAAATTTGGCAAGTAAAATTTAAAAGCTGGTAAACTCTGTTGGGCTATAGCAAGATGGTTATTTTTGCCTCATTCCCTCCTTCTCAGACCCTGTGGTAAGTTTCTTTATTACCAAAAAAAAAAAAAAAAAAGTGTATTTACAATACCTCTCAAACACTATCAGATACTATCGTTATTTTCTTGAGAACTGGCTTAATATGTTTAAAAGCTGGGACTTCTTTTTGTGTTTGTTTTTATTTTAGATCTTCATTAAAGATAATTAAGATTGAAGCTTTTTTTGGGAGGTGGAGGGTATGATTGAGATGTCCTGTACTGATTTTCATCCTCACTTTTGTTTGTTTGTTGAAGATACAGTTTAAATTAAAATAGGAACAAAATCTAAAATATAATAGTGTCCATCAACCAACCTTCATTAGCCCATTTACCATAGCCAGGTATTAATTTCTCAAATAACATGATCTTCAAATGTTGAAACAACTTATTATTCTTCCTCTATAAGAAGACATGACACTGAAAAGTGCCAAGAAAAGACCCTCAGAATTAAGATGATGATAGATTCAGGGAAATATTAAATTGTTTAAAGGTGGGGTAAATAGAGTAAGGGTCATTAATTTCTCAGACATCATCCCTCCACTTTTAATGCCACCCACATATCCAATTAGTAACAGCAGGCTTAATGCTACAGCAACTAACCTACTTTCTGAAAATAGAAGACTTAACCATGGGAGGTAAGTTAATTCCTTTAAGAGAAAAGGTTACATCAAGTCAGCTACCTTGTGCAGAGCTTAAATGTCTATTTTCTATGCAGTCAATTACTCTCTAATGCTATTAGTCATCTCAACATATGATTTAATTATTGCTTGAAATACAACTCAGACGCACTACAAAATAATCATTTAACTAATGCAATAATAGCATGGTAACATACATTTGCAAAGTTCTACACCAGGTCACTTCTTCCTTTTCAAGGGAGAGAAAGATGGCCAAATTTCCTTTGGCACACTCCTCCCCTATGTGGCAAGTGATAAAATTTCTACGTTATACCAACTTCCTTAAATGTGAAGAGGAAAAGCAGCTCAGTGTAGTGGTCCACAGTGCTGTCTCCTGCAGAGCAAAACATGCCAACTCTATCATGAATATCACTGCTTAAGGACCTACCTTCTCTCTACTACTATGAGCAGTTAAAGACCTTTGTGCTGCCCCACGAAGAGCTGTTCGGTAATTATAGAAATTGCTTGAAGGGTCCATCTGATGCTGTAGACAAAAGAGAGAAGAGGATGAACTATTTAATTCTCATGTGCAGGAACTTTACATGATGACACTTTTAACTATACATAAAAATTTAAAAAATAAGTTAGAGAACTCATTAGGAGTATCATTTATCTCTTTCATATACACATATACACACGAAACACATTAGAATACAAAGGTTTTGTTTCGAGCTTTGGTTTATTTACATACGCTGGTATCAATTTCAGTAATGTTAAACTTAGACTAAATTCCTTGCAGGCTACTGTTGAATTAGACCCAAAACTGAAAACAGTCAAACATCAGCATTAGAAAAATTTACTAGTTTCATTTAAAGGTCAGTGGGCCAGTTGACAGTTAACCATGCACAATGATACAACACTTTGTAGAGAACTTGCTCTTTGTACGTGGTAACAAATCATTCACAAATAATTAGAGCATACTATCTTGCAAAAGAGAAATGAAATTAGACAATATGAATAAAGCATCACATAATACATCTAATCATAATTCCTAATTTGGGGGAAAACTTGGGAAGGAGCCTTTTCTTATCTCCAAAGATAACAGATTGAAAATACCAGCACAGCAAGGTAGTATCGTATTTTTACACAAATAATGCGCACATTACGTTTTTTTGCCAATCGCGCAAAACTACCCACCTCCACTGTTTTTGTAAGTGCACTATGCTAAGTGCTACATATGTGGGCATGTTATTTACATGGGCACGTTATTTGCGAAAAAATACAGTACTGAGATGAATACGACTCAAACACAATGCTTTTTGCCCAATTCTTACTACCTCAGAGATACAGTAGAAGGTCTTTTTGTGCAGGTTGGCTAAGTGTGTTGAAAGGATGGTAAGTGAACATTTCTCTGGGGGATGGGGAACTCCTCCCCAGGGACACTGTAGATAAATGAAGCTAGCAGGTCCCCAGTGAAGGAAAATTCTCAATTGTTCACAACCCAAATTCTATCCTGGCATGCAATGTGATGTGATTGACAGGTCATGGTTTCTCCAGTTGATGAACCTCAAAATGGAAACCTGTCTATAAAATGACTAGTCCACAACCTGATTTATTTCCCTCTCCAATTCTAATCCACCTCTTCTTTTTCTGGGTCTGCAAGAATAGACAGGCTTTTCCCTCTGTAGTCCTGTCTCATCAATGGGCAAGATTACATATGGGAACTCCACATTCCAGTGTAAAATGTTACTTAACAGCAAAGTGTGAGTTTTGCATACCTCAAGAATGTCAAACTTCGCAGTCTTCACTTTGGCCCAAGTTTTCTTTAGTCGAGAGACTGGGCTCATATTCATGCCAGCTTCCCAGATAAAATGAAAGAGGAAGGAAAAAGAAGGTTGAATAGAGAAATAGAATAGCCATTCCAACTTATACTCTTATAAGGTCTTCACTGTTAAGTGTAAATAAGATTTCTGCTAATTAATAGTAAGTTATAAACTCTAATTTTGAAATTTTTTCTTGCAAATTCCCCCTAAGCCTGCAAATAACATAACTGCTTCCATTTACTTTGAGCAGGGGTTGGAGAACTGTCTTTAAAGGGCCAGACAGTACATATCTTAGGCGCTGTGGGGGGCCATACAGTCTGTGTCACAACTACACAAGTATTGTAGCATGAGAACAGCTATGGATACTACATAAACAATAAATGGCTATGTTCCAATAAAACTTTATTTATGGACACTGAAATTTGAATTTTATATTATGTTCATTTACCATGAAATAGTCTTCTGTTTTGGATTTTTTTTTAATCATTTAAAAATATAATAACCAGTCTTAGGTCGCTGGTCATTAAAAACAGGTAGTGGGTGGGATTTGGCTCCCACATTGTAGTTTGACCTAGAACTTGACATTTCCATATATTATCTCATATACCCTCTATTCCTACAGAAATAAGCTGAAGTTCCAGGAGTAAGAAATTTTCCCAAGGTCATCCAGTTAACAAGTAGCAGAGATGGTAGCTCATACCGATCTGACTCTAAAACCTACATTCATTCCAACACGCTGCGCTGCCTCCCTAAATGATGCTTTACGTACCATGGCTGCTTGGAAAAATGCTAATATATTGTTCATACAGAAAAAGAGTCCACATCAGCCTAAATAATTCCATATATTAAGTCCATGCACAAACATTCGTATTTTAGGAACTAGTGTAAGAAGATTCTTTTTTTATTTAATTGACGTAAATGTACATGCAGGGCAACACACGGATGTTAGAGGAATTTTGACAAATGTATTAACCTGTGGATCACCACTCTAATCAAGATACAGAACATTTAGTCACCCTAGAAAGCTCCCCTGCTCCCTCTTCTAGTCAGTCCTCACCACCCATAAAAGTTACAACAGTGGTTGCCTATTACCACAGATTAGTTTTGTCTATTCTAGAACTTAATATAAATGGAATCATACTGTATATATATTTTTCATGTCTGGCACCTTTCTTCAATATGATTTTGTTCATTCATGTTATTGATATATATCAGTGGTTCATTTTTATTTCTGAATAGTGTTTCATGGTATGAATACACCACCAATTTGTTTAGCCATTCACCCTTAAATGGCATCTGGGTTGTTTCCAGTTTTTGGCTATTATGAAAAAAGCTGCTTATAACATTCTTGCTTATAAAAAGTCTTGACATATGTTTGCATTTCTATCAGATGAATACCTAGGTGTGGAATATCTGGGTAATAGGGCAAATATATACTTAACTTTAATACAATCTGCCAAACAATTTTCCAAAGTAGTAGTACCATTGTAAACTCTCATCAGTAATGTATGAGTGTTCCACTTGCTCTACATTCTCACCAATACATGGTCTTTTCATTTCAGTCATTCCAATGTGTTAGACGGTATTTCACTGTGGTTTTAATTCACATTTCCCTACTGAATAATGATGTGGGGCACCTTTTAATATACTTATTATTCATTTGCAGTTCTTTTTTTAATGTTTGTTTAAGTCTTTTGTCCATTTTTTCATTAGATTATTTGTCTTTTTATTATTGATTTGTTGTTGTTGTTGTTAACTATTGTCAAGTCAGCACCAATTTACAGTAACTCCACGTACAAGAGAACGCAACATTGCCCAGTCCTGCACCATTTTCATGATCACTGGTCTGCCTGATTCCTTTGTTGCGCTCACTGTGTATTCTGAGTGCCTTCCAACCTAGGGGACTCATCTTCTATCACTATACTGGACAATATTGTGTTGTGAGCCATAGAGTTTTCATTGGCTAATTTTTGAAAGTAGATTGCAAGACCTTTCTTCCTAGTCTGGAAACTCTGTGGAATCCTGTCCACCATGGGCGACCTTGCTGTTACGTGAAATATTGGTGGCACAGCTTCAGCAGTGTAGCAACACGCAAGCTACCACAGTAGGACAAACTGATGGACGGGTGGTGGTATTGATTTGTAGGATTCTTTATATATTTCTAGATACAAGTTCTTTGTCAGCTATATACATTACAATATTTTCTCCAAGGCTGTGTTTTGTCTGGACATTTTGTTAACAGTGTAAGAAGCAAATTAAGTAATATTATATTACCTAGATTGTGGACCTTTCGGGCCCCTCATTTAGAGGACCTTCCTGTTCACTATTTTCAAGGAGTGAGCCAGATAAACAGAGCTAAAACTTAGCCAGCATTCTTATGAGGGAAACAAATGAGAAATGATATGGAAAAAAGAATTGATGAGAGAGGGGATTTATCAGGGGCAAGATTACTGAATTAAATTTGGTGGCTTCTCAGGCTTTAAATTAACTCTGACTTTATTCAAATGATTACTGAGTACCTGCAATGTGAAGGACAACCATGTAACTGGTCACATAAACTAGGATTTTTTTAAATGAAAGAGTCACTATTACTAATTATGGCAAGACAACAGGTAGAAGCTGGGAAAACCAAGACATACTGTCACCCCATGTACAATACTTATAAAATGAATGGAAAGAAACAGGGTTACTGGCATTAAAATTCCCACGCTGTAGAGGTGGAGCAGGTTTGTATAATGGGTAGTAAGGTCTGCTGGTGATAAGTACTATAGAAGCGTAGGCAGTCAGAAAATGTTCTAATTTCCCAGGCCATTCTCATCCATAGTGATGCAATCATATTATTTAGTCTCAGATCATCTATCTCTATGATGCTTGATACACAAACTACCCAAACACTTTACAAAATTGTTTATTTAGACACATGCCTCACTTATAACCTTTTATAAATATTCAGGTGAACTAAAAGTATTCTATAAATTCTTGCACTCTAAAAAAAATATCAGACATACTTGCACCACTGGGGCTATTTAAACCATTTTGAATGTTCTGAAATAATTCAGGATTAAAACGTACATTTTTCATGAACAAAACTACACTACTTTGCAAAGTTACACTGGCTACATTTCCGAGAATCTATAAAGCACACCTATCCTCTGGAAAATACTCACAGATTATTGCCATCAACGAGTTAAAATTGCCAATATTAAAACACTCCCGAGCTACGTCAATGAAATACTCAATCATTCTTGCTCGGTGTTTCTTCTTTACAGGCTGTGCAGGGAAAGACAATAGACGGCAGTTATCCAGCATATAGGCCCAATAGTTACAAAGTATGGAAAAATAGTATAGTGAGATAAGAGACAGAGAAAATTAATTTTCTCACCATGCAGATTTCTGTAGCAACTAAATAGCTGAGGCGGTTAAACCATTCGACATAAGCTTCTAAGTTTCGTGTTTTCTTTCGGTCACTGTAGCAAGTCTATAGATAAAGCAAAGTGAACAGATGAGCTGGAGAAAAAAGAATATATTGGGCTCTCATTTTGTCAGATATATGACTTTATTCTCAGTTTCTGGGTTAGAAAACCTTCCTAGGACCAAAAAAAAGAAGAAGAGAAAAGAGCAAGAGCCACTGACATTCTCATCTCTCCTTACAGAAGCAGCAGAATCTCTTAGTATAGTCCAGTGAAAGCCCTGAGGTCTAGAAATACACTCTGACACAATTGTAAAGCTGCCCTTCCCTCTCAGGAAGCTAACTTACTCTGGGTAGGACTGCTCTGTCCTCAGAAACACAATCCAAACGAGTCTGGGCTAAAGGATTTTTGTCAGCTCTTAAAAACAATCTTGACTGATCAATGGAATAAGAACACCAATTGCTGTCATCACAGCAAGGAGGACTAAGTGTGCAGGGGACTAGGAAATTTTCTCCTGAAATTAGGTCTTAGGACAAAATTTTCTAGCATCATGTAACAGGAAACCAAATATCTTCCAACATAGACAAATGAATGTCTACACCATCATGGACTTTAGTAGGGTGAGTGACACATTGTTCAAAAGCAAAAGAGCTTAACCTCATCTTGGAGTTCAAGGCCAGGCTTGGACAGGTTAAGCACACCCCTCTTTCCTTCCTTCCCAAAAAAAAAAAAAAAAAAAAAAAAAAAAACAAAAAAAAACCCTCTACTAGTCTTCTATTGCAAAATGTATTCTTTACTTCCTGTATTGCAGGAAACTGTTCTAAGGCCGGAAGACAGCTGTTGCCCCTACTCTCAGAGGGGGCCTTTCATCAGTGGGTGAAGCAGTCTTTGCCTAACAATTCAAAATGCTTCTAGAAGTCATTGGGGAAAAAAAAAAAAAAGATTTCTTATGCATGCACACTGATATTATAGTCTGTAGCCTGTATTATTTTCTTTATGTGTGGGCTTCACCCAGGCAATAAAGCTGTCATAAGGGATTTACCTTAAAGTAAGAAGCAAAGCAGTAAAGACCCTTGCTCAGCAAGCTGGATGTACTTCCTGTCTTACTGCCCCTGCTACTGCTGAATCATGAGCAGAGCCTTTTCTTATATTTTCCTCCTGACTTAATCTGCTAAAACTATTATTCTTTTATCTTCTACCTTCATCACCACAAATACATGCATCTACTTGCTATAAAGGGCTTATTAAATTTCCCAATAAGGAGGAAGGAGAGGCTAAAAGTTGGCGATAGGGTAAGAATATTATACAACTGCTATGAATCAGGCACAGTTAAAAAAAAAAAAAAAAACCAAAACACTTTTTATTTTAACACCTAAAACAGAACAGTTTTGACTTTTGTCTCTCATGCTTACTATTACAGATTAAGGAATTCCATTTCTGCTTCCAGGGCTGACCTCCAGGTAGACTGATGGACTTTACCTTGTCATTGTCCAAAGGGTCCTTCTGCACAAATGCTTGAACAAATTCTTCTGGCCCAATATAATTGAGCCTCTCCTGAAACACAAACCCAGCAGATCAACAGTGTTAAGGAGAATTAGAAGAAATGGACAATTTCCTCTACTGACTTCTGGCACCTCTATTTTTCATGTAGCTTATAAAATAAGCCATTAACCCCAAATACTTCTATTACCTTCAAGAAAGATCTGAACAGAGGCAATTTTCTGCTTTGGTCATGCTTCAAAAGATACTGAAATACTGAGTGGGTTAGGGAATAATATGGAGCCCTGGTGGCACAATGGTTAAGAGTTTGGCTGCTAACCAAAAACTTAGCAGTTCCAATCTACCAGCCGCTCCTTGGAAACCCTATGGGGTGGTACTACTCTGACCTATAGGGTTGCTAAGAGTCGGAATCGACTCAACTGCAACGGGTTTTTGTTTTTTTTGTTTTTTGTTTTTTTTTTTTTTGATTTAGGGAATAATAAGAGTCCCTGAGTGGTGAAAGTAGTTAAATGCTCAGCTGCTAACCAAAAGGTTTGAGGTTCAAGTCCACCCAGAGGCACTGTGGAAGAAAGGCCTGGAGATATACTTCCTATGAAGTACAGTTCTACTCTGACACACAAGTGGAAATGGACTTGACAGCAACTGGTTTAGGGAATAATGTGATTTGAGGAGGAAGATGAGGAACGTCAATAAACTCTTTGCTGTTGAGGTCTTTCTGTAGTCTTGCTTAGTATTTCTTTTCAAGTGAATTCTCAGAACATCAGCAGCATTATATTCAAATATCTAAAAACATGTTCCAACTATTTTGTAGATTATTTCCCATTTGGATCATTCTAACCTCTCCCTGTGACATTATTGCTGACAACTACATTGTTTGGTTGCCAAAACAAACCATATATGTGGTTGTAAAGGGTAAGAATGATAACGGCCTTACCAGCTCTATGTGAGTCAGCTGCTGGGCCAACGTGTAAGGGTCACTGCAGACAGTAATGATGTCCCGTTGTATGGACTGTGGCTTGGTCTTGAGAACCGTGAGTCGATCTGTGGATGTGGCACTGATTTTTGCCAGGACTTCCTCGTACTGGCTAAGAGTAGCAAGCTTGCGGATGAGACACTGGATTATCTGTTGGACATTCTTCCGATATGTCTGCCAGGACATAAGCAAAGGATTATAGTCTAGCTCTGTATGTCACACCACTATGCAGACTCGAAGACTATGCCCCAAACTATTTTACTTTAATGTAAGAGAACTGCCTTGGTTCAGGGCAGTTATAGGAGGATTCAGCCTAGCACTAACAGTTTAAAAGAGAAGGTACAACTCAGGTTTGGTCATGAAAACATTACAATGATGTTTTAGATTAGCTATTGAGGGAATCTATAGGTCGCCGTGAGTCAAAATTGAGTCAACAGCAATGGATTTGGTTTGGTTTTACTAAGGGAATCCAGTATAATGAGAACCATATACAGGCAGTCCCCAGGTTATGAACGTCCAGCTTACCGATAACCTGTAGTTATGAACCAACTCTCGAAAAGCCTATTACATTAAAAATTCGAGATACGTACAATGGTTTATAATAACAAATGGGCGCTACTTTGTGATGTGCATCAAAATACTATTATTACATTATTACTGTATTATCATATTAAAGATGTTTTAGTGTATTTAGAAGTGTTTCTTAATTTTTTTTAGGAATAGAAAGGTACACTATATACCAAATACTAAGACAAATATTTGACTAACTGACATTCGATACAAACTGTACCTAACTGTTCCAACTTACATGCAAATTTGACTTAAAGGCAGATTTAGGAATGGGAACTCACTCATAATCCAGGGACTGCCTGTATAACTAAATTTTACTTTTGGTGGATTAAAATGCATTGATAGCAAGACAGAGCATTCTTTTCCTAAGGTTTTATCTTTAGGAATACCTTCTTGATTTCCCCATTCCTGCAACTGCCAATCTCATTAGTCTAAGGACATGGACGGCTACCTGACTGAGATATACCTTTACTTCCCACGCACCACCTAACCACTTTCCTGATGTCCACTCTATCATGCACTGCCATAAAGAAACAGCAGTTATTCATTTTGGTACCTGACCTCCATTTGTCTCATGTCCATTTCTTTTGAGTTCATGAGTCAACACTAATATTTCCAATCAAACTCTTCCACATGGCAATTGTTCCAGTAATGCTATTACCAGCTGCCACGTTGTTTATTACTTTATTATGCTATTACCACAACACTTAAGACAGACTAGTTTAAAAAGCATGGCATGTACTATAGACAAATGTCAACCTCTTGCCTTTTAAACCACTTCTAAGTCAAAGAAACAACTTCAAAATCAATCAATTCCTAGGCTATAGTTACCATGATATAGGTTATGGAGTTATTTTATTCTTTCCTTACTAGCCAGAAATTGACAAACTACAAATCTCGTTCTAGGTAAATGGTGATGCCCATATCACAGAACAGCAAACAGGGTGATTCAGGCTGATTCAATGACAATGCAGTCCTTAGGTCAACAGCTCCAAAGGAAGGCAGACTCAGTGAATTTATTGTCATTAGTTGTTGCTAAATCAGCTCTGACACACGGCGACCCAACATAAAACAGAGCAAAATGTTGCCTAGTCCTACACCACCTTTAGGATTGTTGGTATGCACAAACACATTGTTTCAGTCACTGTGTATTTTGAGTACCTTCTAACCTAAGGGGCTCATCTTCTAGCACTATATTGGACAATATTCTGTCATGATTCAAGAAGTTTTCATTTGGCTACTTTTTGGAAGTAGATCACCAGGCCTTTCTTCTCAGTCTATCTTAGTCTGAAAACTGCTGAAATCTGTCCATCATGGGTGACCCTGCTGGTATTTAAAATACTGATGGCACTGCTTCCAGCATCGTGGTAACATGCAAGCCACCAAAGAACAACTGACAAGACAGAATATGTGGAAAGGCTTATGTTTATGTTTTTCACTCCCTAATCAGCTCTTTAAGAGGTACTACAGCATCATTTTCTGAGATTAGTCATCTGAAAATTAAATGGCATCTTACCAAGTATAAGAAATACACAAGTATTAAAAAAATCTATTTTTTTTTACAAGGGCAATTTAGTTTACCAGAGCATGTTATGAAAAGCCAAATGAACAGACATTTGCAAACTTAAGCTGAGGAAATTTACAACATCTTCTGGAAATGGTTAATTCTCCCATAGTCAGTTCAGGAAAAACATACTCAGCCTTCTTTTCTTCCTCTCTACTTGTCTGTATACTCCACTGAGTACTTTAAACTGGTCCACTGGACATTTTATTCCCCTCTAAATTCATAGACCACTGTAAAATCACTAATGAAATGCTTAAGTGTTTAAAAAAGTTGAACCTTGGAAACCATATCTTCCATACAGCATTAAGATTATCAGTTTAGAAGATGTTATATATTTGGTAATATACTTGTCACTCAAGGAAAATATCTTTTTGGAATTTCAAGCTGTTCAAAGTCAAGTTGAGGGCTATTTAAAATCACTCGCCCTTATTCTCCCACTCCTTCTACTTTCAGAACTTTTGAGTTATATTAAAAATCCATAAACTTAAAATACTTTTTTTAGTCCCTTATCCCCAATAAATGTATACATGAGAGTTAGATACTAGTTCTAAAAATTATGCAAATATTTCCCAGTGTACTCATAATAAACACTTTTTTGGAGGTACTTTAGTTACAGCATATTACCATCCAGAGTAAAAAGTACATTTTATAAAGTTGTAGTTCACAGCTATTGAGGCCTATTTACAAAAGCAATCCACTTCTGTCATTATCTTACAACTTTTCTAAACATTATTTGACATGGATAAGGGAATTATCTTCTAGAATAAGTCTTTCTGAGAAAATTTCTGAATTTTCTGATAGAAATTTTACTTGTTTCCAATAAAATAGTTTTTAAAAAGGAAAAAAAACAAAAAACAAAAAACATGGCCAAATCATACACCAATGACCCAACCATATATCAGACTACTGTGCAACAGCTGAAAGAAGATTCAGCTATCTGCACTGACATAGGAAAGCTTCTAGGACATTTTAATGACTAAGGAAAAAAAAAAAAAGGAATGAAGAACAACTGGTAAATACGTACACATTATAACCTATACATACTACTTCTATGGAAGTAAGTATATGCGCATAAACACATATACACTGAGAAGCAGCTCTGGAAGGATACACACAAAACTAACAACTACTGTTCCTCTTGAGAAGGAAGCAAGATTGACGGAAGTTTTGAGTGCCCTTTGCTTTGTGTAAATTATCTTTAATTTTGTTTTTAAACAATGAGAATGAATGGAAATATACAAGGTCACTGGCATTAAAATTCCCATGCTGTAGAGGAGGAGTAGGTTTGTATAATGGGTAATGAGGTCTGTGGGTGATAAGTCCTACAGGAGCATAGGTACTCAGAATATGTTCCAGTTTCTCAGGCCACTCTCTTGTCCACAGTAATGCAATCATATTATTTAATGTCAGATCATCTATATCTATGATGCTTGATACTTAAACTACCCAAATGCTTTTTAAAACCATTTATTTGGGCAAATACCTCCCTTATAAGCTTTTATAAATATGCAGATGAAAATTAAAGGACTCAAAGTAGTCCATGAATTCTTGCATACTAAAAAAAGAAAAGACACTGCACCATCGTGGCTATTTAAACCATTTTTAAAAGACTTTCCCATCAAATGGGATTTCTTCATTAATGCATGTAAGAAAGTTCTTTCCACTCAAAAAAGCCACAAACAACTCATTTCAAAACCTCATCCATTACCCTACATTTCAGCAGTGCTTCCAAGCATGTTATCATTCCTACATCATGCACCATCCCCCTTCACAGGATTACCAAGGAAAACACTTTTGTCAGAAATTCCCACTTCTCTGCAGGTCACCACCTGAGGGTACTAGCTGAGAAGCAACAAGCACAAAAGCAGCTAAATAAGCACTGGCAACAGCCTGTACCTCTCATTCTGATTTAACTGGTCTGGGGTGCAGTCTAGGTCCAAAAAGAAACCAAACCCGTTGCTGTCAATTCCAACTTATAGCAACCCTATAACACAGAGTAGAACTGCCCCACAGGGTTTCCAAGCAGCAGCTGGTGGACTCAAACTGCTGACCTTTTTGGTTAGCAGCTGAGCTCTTAATCAATGCGCCACCAGGGCTCCACAGCCTAGGCAGCAGTATGTAAATACTCCCCAGGTGATTCTAATATGCAGCAAAGCGTAGAACTAACGCTCTACAGAACATCGAGCATATCCGGTAAGATTTTTAGTCTGCACTTTGGTGTTGGTGATGTTGTTGTTAGTTGCCATCAAGTCCTTTCCAACTCATGGAGACCCCATGTGTGCAGAGTAGAACTGCTCCATAGAGTTTTCAAGGCTGTGACCTTTCAGAAGCAGATCAACAGGTCTTTCTCCCAAGGTGCCTCTGGGTGGGTTCGAACTGCCAACCTTTCAGCTAGCAGTCAAGTGCTTAAACCCTTTGCTCCTCCCAGGGACTCCTCCTTCTGCACATTACAAATGCTTTTTTTTTTGAGAGGAGGCAGAGGAATACATACCCTTAAGGACTCAACTCCAAAGATGTTGCTAGTGAGCAAAACAAAGCAGGAAAATATCAGAGGAAAAAGTACCCAACAGGGTATAGGGGGAAAGCTATTCGAATAACAAAGAACTACTCTGTGTGTGTATGTGTGTGTCTATGTGTGTGCTGGAGAATGTGTGACCTCTTTAAATCTCTTGCTGACATTTGATTCCATTACAGAAACCAAGCTTCGTGTTGTTAAGCATGCTTCCTCACTGAGTCATGAATTGCTAAATATGTACTTATTCTTTTTTATAACTTCAAATGCCCGTGACGGTAATTACCTGGCAAATAAAGACAGAAGTTCTTATTATAAAGACCAGCCCTGTAAGGAAGAGAAGATTGCATTCTACCCACTACAGGCATTTGTCATGTAATTCAATCATTAGTTTCATTTTATGTTTCTTGCAGGCAAGCCCTAATAAACCACTTCATTTTGGGCAAATCCCCAGGGGGAAAACATATTAAGCCAAATTATGGAGAACTGCTCTAGCCAATGCAGAAGAACCAGACTAAATTATATATA